GCAACCCCTTTGACAGGGTCGCCTAAGACCATCCTGCATATCAGACATTTACATTACGATTCATAACAGTAGCAACATTGCAGTTATGAAGTAGCAACGAAAATAATTCTATGGTTGGGTCACAACATGAGGAACTATATTTAAAGGGCCAGAAGGTTGAGAACCACTGCCTTAACCTAAAGTAAAAAGAATTCAAAAAGTATTTTCTAGGCACCAAGTGAATTCCTGGACAAGATAATAATACTAGATTCAAAAAAAAGTAGGAAACATTGTTCCTAACAGTGTAGACAGTGCTCAGATCTGACTGGAAGGACAACACTACAATTCTGTGTTATGAGTTGAATTGTGTCCACAGAAAACTTCATATGTTTCAATCCTAACTCCCCAGAACCTCATAATGAGACCTTACTATGAGAAAAGGTCTCTACAGAAGTAATCAAATTAAAATGGGGTCATTAGTGTGAGCCCTAATCCAATATGGCTGGTGTCCTTATAAAAAAAAATGGGGAGAGTATTTAGAGGCAGACATACACATAGAGAGAACACCATGTGAAAATGAAGACATAAATTAAGGTGATGCTTTTACAAACCAAAGAACAACAGAAATCGCTAGCAAACCACCAGAAGCTAGAGAAGAGGCATAGAACAGATTCTTCCCAAAAACCCTTAGAATGAACCAAGCCTGACAACACCTTGATCTCAGAACTGTTGTTTAAGACACTCAGTTTGTGGCTCTTTGTTATGGTAACCCTGGAAAACTAAGACAACATGGAGTAAAAACTAAGAGCAAAACTCTGGATAAACAAGTTTTCAATAGTTGGTATAAATAACAGATGTTCATAGGATTCAGAGAGCTGGCATATCCCTTCACACACGCATGCACACTATTCAAAAGCAAAAATGCCCGGCCAGCATGGCTCAGTGGTTGAGTGTCAACCTAAGAACCAGGAGGTCACGGTTGGATTCCTGGCCGGGGCACATGCCTGGACTGCAGACTCGTTTCCCAGTGTGGGGCATGCAGGAGGCAGTCAATCAATGATTCTCTCACATCATTGATATTTCTATCTCTTTCTCCCTCTCCCTCTCCATTCCTCTCTGAAATCAATAAAATTAATTATTTTAAAAATGAAATTATGTTACTTTTCTCATTAATATTTTCAACATATTCTGAATACATACTGTTTGCTATTCATAGTAGAATATGAGGTTCAGGGCATAAAAATTTTAAAAAGATCAAATACCTACTGGATGGGAATTCACAATCAAGTCCTGATCTCCCCATTTAGGATACCCACAAGCATTTGCTGTTTTGTTTGTGTTCAATAGAATCTGTTCTCTCATCATTTCTTTACAGAAAAGCCTCCTGTCTCACAATGATTAAGTTCAGTGAGAATGTCATACAAAACCAGATATAATAAATATTCAATAATTGATTTACCATATAGTCAGTCAAATTATATTAGTTCTATCCCAGACAAATAAGATCTAGGTAAGTACTTTATATATAAGATACTATACAAATGTTCACCATTATTACCTGTATATTTCTAATAATTTATAGCAACAAAACATTGCATCTCATTTTAAGTATTTCCAAGTTAATCCCATCAAAATTGATTTTCCTCTGACAGCTTGTTTCATTCTGGTGAAATATTAAATGGACTGAATGAATCACATTTAGGTAGGAATAGATTCTAAAAAAACCCTCACCAGACAAGATCAAAAGCAAAGGCCTTTAATACACTCACCACTCTCAAAGCAAGCATCAAAGACAAGATGTCCTTTCTTGGGCTGTCCACAGTATCCAGTTGGAAGCACCATATATTTGTTCACATTCCCTCCGATGGCATCGTCCTTTCCCAAATCATTGCCTATTTTTTAAAAAAATTGGCCCATGTTAAACAGAAATAAAAATGCATTTAGTAATAGAAGTCTAATTAGGTTTTTATCATTAATTTTCCCCCTCCCCTGTCCTTTTGTGTTAATACCAGCAACAAGAAATTAACTACATATTGCAGTAGAGTACAAAGAGAATGCATTTTGAAACTAGAAAGATACAGGTTCAAATCTCATCTGTACTACATACTAATTCTCTGTGATGCAAAGCAATCAATTTAATCCCTTTAGCCTCAGTTTCTCTCATCCATAAAAAAAAAAGGAAGAGGAAACCATGTTCCAACATTTTACTGAGAATTATATGAAAAATATCTAGTATAACTACCGAAATCCAAAAAAGTTCATTAAATTATATTAATTATTTAATAATAATAATATATATAACTTGTCACTAATATATTGTTAATTACTTTAATTTGGGGGAAAAAACAGTAGAATTATACTGATAATACATAAAAGATTTTATCAGACACTTCATTAAAGCAGATATATGGGTGTCAATTAAGTTCATGATAAGATGCTCAACCTCAGTAATCAATAGGGAAATGTAAGTTGAAACCACAATAAGATATTACCTTACACCTATTAAAAGACTAAAATCAAAGAAACTGACTAAACCAAGAAGGGATGATGATGCAATGAAAACTTTCATGCATTTCAGGCAGAAATGAAAAATGACACAACCACTTTAAAAAATAGTTTGACACTTTGTTATAAAATTAAATATACACAATATACAACCCAGGAATTCCACTCTTACGTATTTATCCATGATATATGAAAACATATGTTCACACACAAAAAAATAAAACACATACATGAATGTTTATAGCAGCTTTATCCATAATCACCTAAAAACTGGAAACAATCCCAATGGTTTCAACTGGTGAGTATATAAACCATCTCTGGTACATCTATACAATGGAATATGAATCAGCAGTAAAAAGGAACAGATAACTGATACACAGCAACATGCATGCATTTCACATGCATTCTACTAAATGCCAAACTCAAAAGGCTACAACCTTTATAATCTATTAATATGACATTTTAAAAGGCAAAATTATAGGCATTTTTAAAAGTTAGTGGTTGCCAGGGGCTGCAGGAATGGAAAGGGATTGACTACAATGTCATCAAAACTTTGAAATCTGCTTTGACCCCTATTTCAGCAGTTATACCTACCTTTCTCTCATCCGCCACACTGAAGGGTATGCATGCATGTGTAAGTGGAGGGGTAGATGTCTGCAACAGGATTTATAAACTCTCCCAGGAAACTCCTGAAGGTCCTCATAGGAATTATGGAAGGAAAGCAGTTGCTAATATGACAACCCCCACCCTAAACAACTAGAAAACTGGACCAATACTGTATCAGAAGCAACAATTTTCTGACATAGATGACAAGCAGTACCAAACTGTGATGGCTAAGAGAAGGGAAATAAATGAGGGAGCCTCATGATAGTCCTAGATTTCAGATTAGTGACAGTTTCCGAAAGATAGTGCAGGAAGAGGGTTTCAAAGCACAATAGGGTCGTTTTCTGACTTGATAATACTGTAATGAAGACTTTTGAGAGGCTGAAGAAACTTAAATTTGAAAGTCAGGGCATTGAAGAGGAGAAAGCTATAGAGAATCAGAGCAACAAAAATCTACAAAGGTCTGCTTAAGACTTTGGCTAAATACTAAGTCTTGTAGAGTGAAACTCCATGAGACCAAATAAAAAAATAAACTGGGACGTTGCAGACTCAACTCTTTCCAAACTGCAACCATCCTGAGTGGAGAATCCATGTGGAAACCCAGGACATTAACTAGAGATCCCTGAAATACCAGGTGTACTGGTTAATAATGTCGTATTTTGTAATCCAAGAAAACAAGATAATTTCAAGAGAAACATCAAAAGCACTTTATTTAAAGTAATGTCCATCGCTAGCTACACATTTCCCCCATCTTTCAGGTAATTTGTGGATACCGTCCCAATAGAACTTTTCTTATTTTGAGGCAAACCATTCAAAGACCCAATTTTCCACTTTTTTGTACGTTTTGAAGTGCTGCTCAGAAAGTGCATGTGCCATCAATCAGAACAAGTGGTAATCTGAAGGAGAAGGTCTGGTGAATACGGTGGGTGGGTTAATACTTCCCTGGCAAGATCTTTTAACGTGTCTTTAACTGGTTTTGAAGTGTGTGATGGTGCGTTATCATGAAGCAAAATTACTTTGCCATGTGTTCTGGCCCATTCTGGTTGTTTTATGATCAAACCTTGGTTCAAATTGATTATTTGTTGTCGGTAGCAATCAGTATTAATGGTTTCACATGGTTTTTGAAGCTCATAATACACCACACCTTCCTGATCCCACCAAATGCAGAGCATTGTCTTCTTTCCGAAGTGATTTGGCCTTGCAGTTGATGTTGATGGTTGACCTGGATCAACCCATGATTTTGTGCATTTGGGATTCTCAAAATAAATCCACTTTTCATCGCCAGTCACAATTTGATGCAAAAAAGACTTTCTTTTGTGCTGTTGAAGCAACATTTTACTGATGACTTTTCGGTTTTCCATTTGTCTTTCGTTCAGTTGATGGGGCACCCATTTTCCTTCCTTTAAAATCTTTCCCATTGCTTGTAAATGTTCGGAAATTGCTTGCGGAGCAACGTTTAATCTTTCTGCAAGTTATTTTTGAGCTTGACACACATCTTCATCCAATAATGCTTGTAATTGTTGGTCATCAAACTTTTTTGGTTGACCTGGAAGTTCTTTGCTTCTCACATTGAAACCATCACTCTTCAATAGTTTAAACCAGTGTTCACAAGTATCTTTGGATGCAGCATGTTCACCATAAGCTTCCTGAAGTATACGATAACTTTTTCTTCAAAATAAAGTTATGAATTAAAACTTCCCACAAATGCTCTTTTTTTGGCACGAAATTCGACATTTTTAAGCGTAAAAATATCTATGATGTTAACACCTTCAGCAAATTTGACATATGAAGTTTTGAAGCTTGCTGTCAATACAACAAGATAGCATACATATCAAATCACATATATTTATTTCTTCAACATATGTGTAATTTCATCTATTGAGAAAAATCCGCATTATTAACTGGTACACCTAGTATACTAACCATGAACACTTGATAAATGAAATTTGAAATACAATATCATTAAAATAGCATCACAAAACACGAACTATTCAACCTTCAATGTAACCAATTATGTATAAAAACTTTATACTGAAAACTAACAGACATTGCTGATATATATTAAGGAAGACCCAATTAAATGACAAGGTATATCGTGTTCATGAATTAGAAAATTCATTATTGCTAAGGTGACAACTTTCCAAAAATTCATCTCTAGATTAAATGCAATCCCAATCAAATCTTAGCATTTTTTGTAGAAGTCAACAAGTTGATCATAAAATTTATGGAATTTCCATATAGAATATATGGAAGCTCAAAAGACCTGGAATATCTACACTAATAAAAGACAAAGATGCTAATTGACTGTAACTTCACTACGCCCAAGCCATGCCCACCAGCCAATCAGAGCGACTATATGCAAATTAACCCAACCAAGATGGCGGCCGGCAGCCACGGAGCTGGAGCAAGCAAGAGGCTTGGTTGCCCTGGTGATGGGGGAAGCCAAGCTTCCTGCCTGCTCTGGCCAGCTGTAGCCTCTGCAAAAGGCAACAAAGTTTCAATTATAGAAGCTAAATAAATCCCAGATACCTGCTTCCAGCCAGCCTTCAATGGGGGCTTGGGTGGCTGGGGGCTGTGGCCAGCCTGCAAACAGCCATCAGCCACTCACCCAGGGTGGCCACACCCTCATGGGGTGAGGGTCCCTGCTGAGGGGCTTGGCCAGCCTGCAAACAGCCAACAGCCCCTCACCCAGGCTGTCCAGGCACCCCAGCGGTGACCCCTACCCTGAAGGGGCTATGGCCAGCCTGAAAACAGCCATCAGCCCCTCACCCAGGCTGTCTAGGCACCCCAGCGGTGACCCCCCACCCTGAAGGGGCTGTGGCCAGCCTGCAAACAGCCATCAGCCACTCACCCAGGCTGGCCACGCACCCTAGCAGGACCCCCCTCCCTGAAGGGGGTGTGACCAGTCGAAAACGGCCCTCAGCCCCTCACTCAGGCTGGCCAGGCACCCCAGCAGGACCCCCACCCTGATCCAGGACACCCTTCAGGGCAAACCAGCTGGCCCCCACCCATGCACCAGGCCTCTATCCTATATAATAAAAGGGTAATATGAAAATTGATCCTAACAGCAGAGCAACTGGGAATCACTGGTCACTATGACACACACTGACCACGAGGGGACAGACGCTCAATGCAGGAGATGCCCCCTGGTGGTCAGTGTGCTCCCACAGGGTGAGCTCTGCTCAGCCACAAGCCAGGCTGATGGCTGCCAGTACAGCAGTGGTGGTGGGAGCCTCTCCTGCCTCCTCAGCAGCACTAAGGATATCCAACTGCAGCTAGGCCTGCTCCCCGCTGGCAAGTGGACATCCCCTGAAGGCTCCCGGCCTGCCAGAGGGATGTCTGACTGCCAGCTTAGGCCCAATCCCCCGGGAAGCGGGCCTAATCCAGCAGGTGGTCATTCCCCGAGGGGTCCCAGACTGCAAGAGGGCACAGGCCGGGTTGTGGGACCCTCCCGAGTGCACAAATTTTTGTGCACTGGGCCTCTAGTCGAATATAATTTTGAAAAATAAGAAAAAAGTTGGAGAACTTACATTGCATGATAACAACTTACTTTATTTTTTTTAAATATATTTTATTGATTTTTTACAGAGAGGAAGGGAGAGAGATAGAGAGTTAGAAACATCGATGAGAGAGAAACATCAATCAGCTGCCTCCTGCACATCTCCTATTGGGGATGTGCCCACAACCCAAGTACATGCCCTTGACCGGAATCGAACCTGGGACCTTTCAGTCCGCCGGCTGACGCTCTATCCACTGAGCCAAACCGGTTTTGGCATAACAACTTACTTTAAACTAACAGTAACCAAGACATGAGTAATATGAATATCAGATAACCACAGAAATCAATGGATCAGAATAGAGAGTGCAGAAATACATCCACACACATCACGTACATATGGAGAATTAAGCTTCCATAAAAGTACAATGGTAATTTAATATGGAAAGGATGGTC